CTCTACAAAACTTGCATACGTCCACTCATGACTTATGCAAGTGGTCTCACTGGGTCGTGTTTCCGATGCGGTGGTAGATTCTGCGAAGCACTGCTCTTGCTAGGGTTAATGTTAGCAACGTCGTCAAGTTTGAACCCCATGAGCTCACCTACTTTTTAGGTTACGCTGAAATAGCCTCTCAAGGCTATCATCAGCTTAGGTAAGGAAAAAAAACGCCAATTCCCAATGGTATTTCATCGAAATGGTCGTTCTTAACCACAGCCTAGACACACATTTTGTTAGAAAACTTAGTATATGCCAGATAATTTGAAACCCAGCGCCCTCTCATCTATCCATAGTAATAAAGAAGTCTAGCCCTTAAGATCACAAACACATAGTTAGTTTACGAAGTAAGTATAGTTCTGACAAAGCATGTTGCGGATAATAACATGTACTTTTAGGTTAGGAATATTGTGTTCTTTTTTTTATAATAAATAAATTTAAAATTAATAAATTACAGTTCCCGAAGCCAAGCGAGGGCGGATCGCCGTTAGTTTACAGTGATGTGTTCTAATTAAAACTATCTAACAAAGGCTCGCACAATTTTCGCCTATTCCAGTATTTTATTGGCAACCAATATAAATTCGAGCACTCAAACACAAAATAAACTATTCGGTAATTTGAATTGATAACCAACAATTCATCGAAAACAATCTTCAACCTTCACACGACCTCCAATTATTTCCCAAATAATAACAATAACAATACAATTTGAAAAATAATTAACAATGTTAAGGTACTGATTATCTTTGTTTCAAAGAATTCAAAAATAATGATTTCATGCTTTTAATAGCGTAAATAACGTTATTATGTTGCTTGACTTCGGTGTTCGGACAAGAACCGGTGTATTCAACATGGTATGGACGTTGGCGATTGTGCTTTCGCATTGCACCAACAAGATGTCTTGGTCGTTACGATATCCCAAAACAAATAAACCAAAACAAAAAGCCAACATCACGTGGTGTTCCCAGGCGGTCACCCATCCAAGTACTGACCACGCCCGATGTTGCTTGACTTCGGTGATCGGACGAGAACCGGTGTATTCAACATGGTATGGACGTTGACGAATGTGCTTTTGCATTTTACCAACAAGAAGTCTTGGTCGTTACGAGATCCCAAAACAAATAAACCAAAACAAAAAGCCAACATCACGTGGTGTTCCCAGGCGGTCACCCATCCAAGTACTGTCCACGCCCGATGTTGCTTGACTTCGGTGATCGGACGAGAACCGGTGTATTCAACATGGTATGGACGTTGGCGATTGTGCTCTCTCATTGCACCAACAAGAAGTCTTGGTCGTTACGAGATCCCAAAACAAATAAACCAAAACAAAAAGCCAACATCACGTGGTGTTCCTAGGCGGTCACCCATCCAAGTACTGACCACGCCCGATGTTGCTTGACTTCGGTGTTCGGACAAGAACCGGTGTATTCAACATGGTATGGACGTTGGCGATTGTGCTTTCGCATTGCACCAACAAGAAGTCTGTGTCGTTACGATATCCCAAAAGAACTAACCAAAGCAAAAAGCCAACATCACGTGGTGTTCCCAGGCGGTCACCCATCCAAGTACTGACCACGCCCGATGTTACTTGACTTCGGTGATCGGACGAGAACCGGTGTATTCAACATGGTATGGACGTTGGCGAGTGTGCTTTCTCATTTCACCAACAAGAAGTCTTGGTCGTTACGATATCCCAAAACAAAAAGCCAACATCACGTGGTGTTCCCAGGTGGTGATCCATCCAAGTACTGACCACGCCCGATGTTTAAAATGTTTGTTGATCAAATTATACGTAGGAATCAAATGTTTTATTATTTTATAACTAGCTAATATCATTATTTTTTTCTGTTGTATCAGCCCACAGACATCCACTGCTGGACATAAGCCTCCCCCAAGCATCGCCACAACGATCGGTCCTGCGCTGCCGGCATCCAGCGGACCCCCACGAACCTCAGTAGGTCATCGGTCCAACTTGTGGGAGGCCAACCCACGCTACGTCTTCCGGTACGCGGTCGCCACTCAAGAGCTTTTCGGGCCCAACGGCCATTATTACATGATTTTTTATTGCTGAGATGGGTGGACGAACTCACAGCCCACCTGGTTTTAAGTGGTTACTGGAGCCCATAGACATCTACAACGTAAACGCCACCACCCACCTTGAGATATGAGTTCTAAAATCTCAGTATAGTTACAACGGCTGGCCCACCCTTCAAGCCGAAACGCATTACTGCTTCACGGCAGAAATAGGCGGGGCGGTGGTACCTACCCGTGCGGACTCACAAGAGGTCCTACTTTTTATGTAATAATGCCGTATCTTCCGGCTTTGGGTGTCTTGAATCACCTATTTATACAAACAACGATTAGAACATAAATCGAAAACCGGTGATTGAAAATAATATAGATAGGTAGGTATAACTATAGCATTTTTTTTGTGGATGCTTTTTTGAAAATCAGCATTTTCTCGATGAATATTCTTATTGACTTAATGGTCACGTTTAACCTGTTTACTTTGTTGAATCGACAAAATACATCGTAATTTTTACATTAGTACCGAACGAAAAAGAAAAATCGCGTTGTATTTTTTACACTATTTTTTTTTATTGCTTAGATGTGTGGACGAGCTCACAGCCCACCTGGTGTTAAGAGATATAAGTCCTAAGATCTCAGTATAGTTGCTACTTATTTTGTATTTTGTATTTACTTGCATATTTTTAGTATTTATTTGTATTTAATCGTATGTAAGTCTATCTTATATTGTGTTTATTTTTCACATGTGTATATAAGTATATATTTTTGTGTAAGTTTATTAAGATATAGCACCGTCCAGTTCGCTTATTCCTCTCCCTGCAAGGTTGCCTGGAAGAGATCGCTTTCAGCGATAAGGCCGCCAATTTATGTCACCGACTATTATTTGTTTTTATATGCTTACTTTGTATATATGGTGTAAATAAAGTGTTATATTATTATTATTATTATAGTTACAATGGCTGCCCCACCCTTCAGTCCGAAACGCATTACTGCTTCACGGCAGAAATAGTCAGGGCGGTGGTACCTACCCGCGCGGAGTCACAAGAGGTCCTACCACCAGTAGTTATTGATACGAGCAAACCAATCTATTTGCTTTAAGTAGTTACCGGAGTGTTCGTAAAATCGCAACGTTAATGTCGGCAGCTGTCTTGATATATAAAGATCAAAGGCTCAATTAATATTGGTTAACTGATATACCGCATTTCAACCGAAACGCACAGTTGCTTTTTATTATCTTTGTATACAGATTAACGTTCGGTACTGCTCACCGCCGAGTACTCTCCGCACACCTCGTCTCGGAGGAAATGTCCTCCACCGTTCAGAAAACGCGGTGGAGAATAGTTCATTCCAAAGCCGTACGGTGTTTGGCAAAAAGCACCACTAGAAGCACAATGCGGATAAACGCGGCGCTTCTAAATAATATTATGAATGAATCCTGCTTTGGTTCAATCTCTGATATACATCTTATGTAAAATTTAAAAAGTTAATTCTCATCGTTAAAGTTGAATTTACTTAATTCCAACAGAGTCGTTTAGGATATTTTATAGAAGTTTAAAAAAATATTCTTTGTGACTATAAAAAAATTAATTCACGAGCGAAAGCTAGAATTATATGGCTTTCACCTCTGCGTCTAAATATAGACACAAAAATCAAATTTATCTCTCATCCTACAGCGTTAACGCGATCAGTAAATACAAGAAGAGCATTTGGCCCTATACACGTGAATGACTAAAGTAAGCAGTCTGTAGTGTGTGAATAGCCGAAACATCTTTTACATTTTAAAAAAACTTATACAGACTAAGCAACAGAGAGTACTTGATTCAAGTATGTATTTCTATAGAAGATATTTGTTAACTTGATTAATAAAGTGTTTGCATTGAAATGACGCAGTTGCCAATTCAAGATATTTCTATGGAGACTTGACGTAAGTGGATGGTCACTACGCTATAAAATAAATCAAATTGTATCATAGACCAGACCTGCTTTTAGACAAAAAATTACAAGCATCGGGTTTATTAGGAAGATCTTTTACTGGTGGTACCACCTCCCTGCCTATTTCTGCCGTGAAGCAGTAATGCATTTCGGTTTGAAGGGTGAGGCAGCCGTTGTAGATGTCTATGGGCTCCAGTAGCCACTTAACACCAGGTGGGCTGTGAGATCGTCCACCCATCTAAGCAATATTTTTTTTAAAAAAAAGACCAGATTACGTGAGACGCTTTCTCACTAAAACCATAATGTTTGGTAGAACGCACCAGTATTCCTCATATATGTCGCGCTAAAACCACGAACAGAGAATTCACCTTAACCATAGTGGAACGCATTACGGCTTCGCGGGAGAGATCGGTGGGATGGTGGCACCCACCCTTGCGGACTCAGAATTCGCGCTACCACCACCAAAATGGTAATTGGCAATCGCAGTGTACTGATTTGATACTCAGAAAACGCTGCAGCCTATTTTGCTACTTTACGAGTTCGATAATACACAGCGCATGAGATTTTCTTTGCTCATTAAGAAAACATTAAATTAACCTTAAAAAGCTATCATAATTGTTTTTTCAAGAATAATTAAAATTAATTATTAAAATAAAATTAATAATAAATTAATTAATTATTAAAATTAAAATTAATAATAAATTAATTAATTATTAAAATTAGACATCACACGATAACTCAAAGCAGTTAAATCTCAGAGTTCATTTTTTTTTTTAATTTGCTCTAACCAGAATATGTTAGAATATGTTACATGTGTGTCCTTGCTCAAATTTAACAGCTAATATAGCGCCAAATCATAATTTTGATATAATTTTTGAATTTAAAAAGAAATAATGTCAACTTTACTTTAAAAAAAAATCTTCTCTATTCATCTAACTATATAGAAAAAAATTGCATATCTTCTAAAAAATTTAGATATAAAATAAGTAAGTACTTACTCTTCAACGCCCATCTTTTGTTCAAAAGTAGCCCATCCAGAAACTTGTATCCATGGTCTCTGCAGGCATTATCTTTGAGAGAGGCTATAGCACTGGTTAAGGATAACAGATCACTCGCAAGAACTACTGAGGACGCATAATCAGGAGACTCCCCGATCACCCTGACTTGAGTGTCTTTTGTGTCTCCTTCGTATTCGTTATAAGCAGGATTCCTTTGCGAAGCTCTTTCAGTTCTATTCGCAACGAATTTCGCGATTAAATCCCTATCTAAGCCGAGCTTATCAGCTGTTCTATTTAAAAGCGCTAAATCTTGTTCATTTACCGTTCTATTAGAATCTAATAACGGGGTTAGTCTAGCGAGGGCATCGGTATTTGTTATGTTAAAATTTTGCGTGGAAACAACCGCTACTAAAAATATTAGTAATGTGAATGTCATGAAATCCATCGCGGCGAAGGCGTGCGCACGCGGCGCATTGACCAACTGACTGAGGTGCCTACTAGTGCCTAGCCGGAACCTTAACAGTCGATCGATACAGCCTCGATTCAAATAAAGGCTCTTGTCCATTACGATATTATAATCGGTTCATTGTTACGTATTTTACTGAGCACCCGAATTTTTTTTTAAAATGGTAGTCTACTCTATGCATCCAATGACGTCACGCGACCCGACGATTTGACATTTCACATTAATAAATCCGAATAAAAAATAATAAAAAATTTACCGAAACTACTGATGGTTTCGAATATGAGTCCTTTGATGGAAAAAATTACGAATTAAATAAAAGAATATACAATAAATTTAGAATAGGATAGTACTAGTGTAAAAGCCTTTGTGACCGGCATCACTTTTATTCTGGACTACTAAGTGTTTGTGGAAATATTTGAAAAAAAAATCTCAATCGGCTTCACAGGAAAAACTTGACAACGAATGGTATATATTTTTTTTTTTTTTGGTATCCTTTATAGACTCTTGAAATCTATTTTCAAATTAAAATTTATAACTTTTCCTTTTTTTTGGTGAAAATTCTGTTTCATTCAATTTCAAAATCGTGTCATTGCAACTACTGGCAAGCACGACCATAGAGATTGTTTTTACATTATTCTAGGTGGTCCGCGAGAAAGTTATTCAGAGAGGCCACGACCCTCAGCATTGAGGACTATCGATCGAGCAGGGGGATGTGTATAACTTTATTACAAAATACAGTCCATTTTTATTTGAATGTCCTCTAGGATGCAAGCATAACTTAAGTAACTATCACAAAGCCTTCTGAAATTGTTTAAAGTATTCTTGTCAAGTATTGCTGCAATTACTTGTAAGGCGCATGTTTGAGCTGAACAATATTTTTAGAAATGTATGAACAGTGTGCTTATTGCGAATTTTTAACGTTCTGAATATCGTAAAAGTTAACTCAAATTTGTATCTTACAAAATAAGCTAGAATTAATACAAGAAACAACGTCGAGCTTAGAGTGTCGTTCTATCGAGTAAAAACACCTACTGGGTAGAAAATCTTCACCTACATAGTTGACGTCTTGGAGGGATTAAATTTCGGTGAAAAACAATCCATTTACTATTACACTAGGTAGTTGAGCTCATGGTCTTGTTATCCCTATGTAGCTATCGAAGCCCACAAGACAACAAAATGAATTCCGCCAATTATTCCGAGACACACCCTCAATCCTTAATATATTGACTGCTCTTCGCTTAAATTCTTCTAAATGCGCCCTAGTGTCCATTTCCACTAATAATCTAACAGGTTTAAAATTACCCATAATTAAGTTTCATTAAATTAATCCATTAAACATAAAATATTATAATTTTTTAATTTAGCATATAATTTAATTCAGCAGTGAATAAAACGGAAAACACATTTCAAATTACGTTTAATTAAAACAAGAATGCTATCTTATGTTTCGAAAATATTGAGCACCATCTTCATTGTTAACTGTCCACTCCCATTCATCCAGTTCGTTGTCTTCTCTAGAATAAGGTCTTTCGTCATACTCCCTTTCCACCCAAGCCTCCTCTCCCCCTTGTTCTTCTTCAATAACATCTAATTCCTCATCAAAATGATGTTGATCTACTTCTCCTAATTCTTCGTTTTCTTCTTCCTCTACAATTTCATCTAGTACTTCATTTTTATGTCTATGCATTTCATACTCGACTTCTTCTTCGGGTATTTCTTCTAACACTTCTCTGTGAGCTAGAAAGTGAGCTCTAGGTTTCTGTTTGATTTCTCGTTCTTCTTTTGATTTCGAATAAAGTTCTTTAGAATTCGTTTCATTTTTCTCTGTTTTTGGCCCATTTTGTAGATTATTTTCGAATTTGAATGAAAATTTTAGTAGCTTATGAAAAGATTGCATTGGAATTACTAGAGTTAGTGTCAGGATAATTGACGAAATCAGAATCGCTGCTATTTCCTGTAAATCGACCTGAGGAGAAAAGTAACCAAGATTATTATTCAAAAAAATTACATTTCCATTTTGTTGTACGTTATCATATAATTGACATGTAAAACGAAAAGAGCACCCGAGAGGAAAAACCCAGTAAAACACCACCGCTAATTATATTATTATGGTATGGGAGCAGTAGTCGTCAGGAATATGATCCTACAACTAATCTACTAATCTAACATAACCTAGGATGGGAACTTCAACACAAGCACATCAGAAATATCCGAGAGAGTCAAGGTAGCATTGAATTCAATCAAAACTATCTTGACTGCTGTAGGCAAATTAGTAGATACTGCTATACCGTTACCGAAAGATACTGTTTTAGTATCCAGTATCTTACTGATGAATGCCAAGTAAATAGTAATATTTTAGAACAATGCCGAAGCAAAAGTTAAAACCTTTTTGAGAAACTGTTAAACAATAATATAATTAAAAAAGACCTCCTATAAATCTTCTATAATATATAGCCTTTTTGAAAATCTGTTAGAAATAATGTAATTTTAAAAAACTCCTATATCTGATCTTTGAATTTCATCGTGACTCGATGATATTCATACAATGACGTATTATAAATTAAACACTCGAGAGAACATAATTGACAACTTGAAGAAGATGACACAGAGAAACAAGTTTAACCACGTAAATCATAAAAAAAATGTTGTTTAAAATTTTAAAAACGTATTTTATTATACATATTTTAAGTTCTTCAACTTTGATTTTGATGATGTTGACGTGACTGAAAAACAACCTCTAATGATTACGAATGTAAAAAGATGATATCTATTTACAAAGTACCGAAATTTCTCAAAATGTAATCTTTGTCCCATCACTCTTGGCCATACCTGTGGCATAACCAAGCCGTTAGTTAGTACTACGTTGAGGTTTAAATAATGAATGGTTTGTACTATAAAATGGATGTTTGTATATGAGAATTATGCATATAAAGGAGTATAGAAAAGGTCTGAATATATATACTAGTAAATTCTAAATATCTTCAGATTTATTCTAAATTTAAATGTAGTTTTGCATGTCTATTAAATATTAAAATAAGCTCTACTTCCGACTAGATAGAGCCAAGAGGTCTTTATAACGATCTTCTACTTAACTGTATTTTTAAATCTACCAATTAACTGTTATTTAACGGGCTCCTCGCTTAGTTTTCAAAGGTTATTAGAGGTCATAGACAGTGCAGCTAAATTTTTCGAGGTATAAGGTCGAAGCGTCACAATCAATTGTATTTTTTTTTATGATTGAAAGATTACTGGTGGCCCGGAGGCCTTTCCAGTTCCACCAGGACGGGTGGGCGAGCAAAGGCTCAGCCGGGAGGGGTCGGATTCGCTAACAGCTGCCCGAGCGCCTCCAAAAGAGACCTAACAACTCAAGAGCAATTGCTTCGCGAATGAATCTAATACCGGATCGGAATCGCGACCCACTGAGAAGAGCCGGCGAGAAACTCAGCGGGCTGATGCATGGGTTAGGTTGCACGTCGACCTCCTTGTCGAGTTCGACGAGTATGGTTACCGGGGAAAATTGTATTTAAGAACGACTGTTCAACCCCTCAAGCGGGAAATTACATATTTGATAAATTAATAGAAAAGTTCAGAATACTCATTCGTTCGTAGTGTTACCAAGTGTTATCATTCGTATCAAGTAATACTTGTTGCACAAATTCTCTTACCAGAGACATCAAAGTGAATTCACTTGAATTTCTGACAATGCCCAAGTTCGTCATAAAGATTATGAACTGACACAAATAGAGAGCGTAGGAGAGACGGCTGATTATAGCCAAAGGCCGGCAGCAGAGGAACTGAGATAGCAGACCTGAGAAAGTAAAAATGAAGTCTTCATTAACCTTCGGTGACAGATGAGTAGCACTGCCAATGTTGTTAGCAGAGTTACAAAAATTATTAAGTAAAAAAAAAAAACTGGATAAGCAGAGACAATCTTACATATTTCAAAAAGGTCCAACACCTCACTGTATGAATCCCGCTGCCTACGTGGAAACATGAGGTCTAAATCCGGAAAAAATATAAAAGCCATCTCACGCTTCAGATAACAACATGTGACTATTTCAAAATCAATAGGCAGAGTGGTAGTTCTTACCCCTGTGAATTCACAACACATCCCACCGATTCATAGACGTAAAATACCAACGTGTCCCAGTTTAATGAATAGGACAACTATACAATTATGACCACGACTCCTTGTCTTAAGCTGACCGTGATATTCACGTGAACTATGCACCAGAGTAACTGATAACAATGGCTGATTAATGTTACAAAAAAAATTAAACCACGTAAAGAGACCTACCATAGTTGCCGTTATTAACTGCATAAATCAGCCAAGCTATAGCCATTGCGGATGCAATCGGCGCTAATCCAGCATACTGAGCTGCGAATGATGCGCTGTAGCGGTAGCTGGTAGAGCCTGAGTCGATGCCTGCCCACCAGACCAAGGCCCAGAGCATACCACTGGTTAGCCAACCAAGTGTTAGGATTATCTGTAATATATTATTTATCAGGAAATATTTAACTAGAGTCATCATCTGAGAATGGTTACCGATATTACAAATTGGAACCAATAAACAATTTTATTTATTTTCTATAGGGAACGAGTTCACAGTCCACTGACCTACCGGCCCACTGAGAAGATCCGGCGAGAAACTCAGTGGGCTGTGTCTATGAGTTAGTTTGCTCGTCGTAATCGACGAGTCCGACGAGGACGGTGACCGGTGCTTGAAGGTCCTAAAAGCACCGGGGATCGTTCGGGGAGCATTCGGGGGATCTGACAAGACATGTTTCGGGCGGCGACGCCGCGGCGGCTTTGCGTTGCCCTGTCAGGGTCGGATTAATCAGTTTTTACAGTAGAGTACAGGCTGCTTCATTATTCAAACCGAAACGCATTACTGCTTCACGATAGAAATAGGCAGGGTGGTAGTGGTACCTAACACAGTGGACTCACAAGAATCCTACTACCACCATTTATACCTGTCTGTGGCATTCGAACACCGCCTTGAGAGGCTATTTCAGCGTTACCTTAACTAATAGGTTCGAATGCCACAGAACACCGGCACACCTGTCGTCAGGTTTGAGCCCCGTGAGCTCGCCTACTAGTTAAGGTGTTAAGGTTACGCTGAAATAGCCTCTCAAGGCTGTTAGCTTAGGTACCAAAAAAAATATCAATCAAGCTCAGACTTCAGATTCACATCTCAAAGCGGACGAGATTACGTTGAGCTATAGGCTCCAGCTAGTGGTGATTGTCACAACAGTTAAAATACTAAAACTCTTTACGTATCGGATAAGGTATAAACTAATTTACCTTGCCGTGTCTCGTTGGTTTTGTCAAAGCCATGCCCAATGTGATTCCTATCAGGTATGCTGTAGATCGGTGCAATGTCGATGTATAGCTCAAGCGAGCAGTCCTATACAGCTGGCTTACACTGCAACAGACAGAGCTCAGTCGAATTAGAAAAGCCTGTAGATGCAGTTGTATTAGTTCTGCTTCTAACTGTATTAGGTAGGCGCTGACACAAAGGGTGTTTTACACAGTGAGTATAAATATGTACTGCTTTGAATAGTTTATTGAAGATAAGTATGTACACAAACAAACTATAACAAGAGTGGTACTATAAAGAACTAACATACAGGAGTAGTAAAGCACTGACACGAACGATGGGTAGCACAACAAATATCGATGTGTACTGCCCGCAGTTTCTTAAGATTCCGATGTGTTGAACAACAATAATAGATGATTTCTAACGACAAGACACGAGTCTGTTGTACATTTCAATTGGATGTCTCTGCATGACAGTAATTCACGTTATGATCTCTATGAGCCCTGATGATCACTTAGCACCTGGTATACCGTTAGCTTCATCTGGTCGTCAAGAGAAAAAAGCGTCCGTATGAATGATATGAATATTAAGTGGATATGGTTCAAATTCAAAGAGTATCAAGAATTGTTGAAAATGAGATAACTTGCTCTCATGCCGACTGGATACTCATAAATTTGCAATGAAATCTCTCAGAGAAGTAATTGGTTTCTCTACGAAGGCTACAATGACAATTCGTATTTCACACATTTAAAATTTAATGTTTTCAATTTTTGTTTCATTCAAATTATAATAGTCAAAAAACAAAAACAGGTTTTAAAATTAATTTAATTAAATTTTAATAATTACTTAATTGAATTTAGTTGTTGTTATCTCGGATAAGAAAATAATAATTTTAAAAAAGAAGACAGGGAACTTGAACTTTTAATCAAACCAGACATAATGACTAAAATTAAATACGCATACTATAATTTGGTATTATTTGAATAAGTAGACAATACGTCATAATAAATACGAATTTTAATTGTAGTTTGTAATATCGCTTTGTGCGTGGGACCCATCTAACTCACAATAATATTACCAATTTAATTGAATTCATTTTTATTATAAATAATTTGATAATTATCTTTCCAGAACCCATACAAAGCGAACAAAATGCCTCCCCCTACTTTTAGACATCGGTCAAGCTATACAAAACGCTTGACCGCATCACGGCAGAAGAGTGATACTTAGCAATATGGGATCTCAACACTTCCTGCCACTGGTGGTAGGACGTCATGTGAGTCCGCACGGGTAGATACCACCACCCTGCCTATTTCTGCCGGGAAGCAGTCATGCGTTTCGGTTTGAAGGGCAGGGCAGCCGTTGTAACTATACTTGAGACCTTAGAATTTATACCTCAAGGTAGGTGGCGCATTTACGTCCTAGATGTCTATGGGCTCCAGTAACCACTTAACACCAGGTGGGCTGTAAGCTCGTCCACCCATATAAGCAATAAAAAATTGTAACTACACTCAGACCTTAGAACTAATGTCTCAAGGTACACAATGTAAGATCTTCTGACTTGATTATATTGATTGCAGTTAGTTAATAAAACGCTAAACCCGAATGATATATTTTGCTAACGAAAAAAAATATGTATCAATGATTTGAAGAACTCAGGTTAAAAAAATATATAATCAATTTAGCGGCAACATAAATTGTTTGGAGATTAATTGGATTTCTTAATAGTTTGACTTGGCTTACTGCATGATTGCTTGACCTCGTAATTTTTAAATAACGACCTCATTTAAAAATATATTAATAGAAAAAAACTTGCTGAGACTTTTACGGACGATGCCTAGTCTTACAGTTATGGGTCTTCAATCATGTGAAGTTTTTTAGTGAATTAAAAAACGTCTATGATTTGGAGTTGGCTTTCTTTTCTCGCCAGCAAAAATAACAACGGAAACATCATACCAGTACACGGGATACTTCATTTATGCAATTTACAGTAAAGCAATCACATCAGGTCACCCAGCCCTGTTGCTATCAACCGCTTTTCACATCTCATTCGAATTGACGATTCAAATACTAATCTTTACTAATATTATAAAGAGGAAAGATTTGTTTGTTTGTTTGTATTGAATAGACTCCAAAACTACTAAACCGATTTGAACAATTCTTTCACTGTTTGGAAGCTACACTATTCCAGAAGGACATAGGCTATAATCTTTTTTGAAAAAAAATAGGGATCCATACTAAAACTCCAATAATGTAACCCAAGATGTAAAAAAAATACCTAAAATATTCTTTACATCGCGTGCCCTGCGAAAACTATTGATGATAGAATAAAATAATGTACTACGACTTTGTAGAACATATTATTATTATTTACAAAAAGTGTCGCGACAGCATATGTCTAACTGTTATAGTTATGCCGCAATAAGTGTTCTTTTATTTAAAAAAATAAAACAATGTCAAATATCGTTGATTTTTTTGTTAAAAACCCGAGTGAAACAGGAGCGGGCCGCTTGTTTTTCATCAAAGTCCCTTATTGTTAAAGTAAATCTTACCTAACACCGTGATAAGCCAACAGTGTAAGCCGATGATCGCGTACCGTGGAGTACCTCAAATACGCAGCCACGCCGTGCAGAACCGGCAGAAGGATCAAGGATAAACCTTTCTTCACTTGAATCGCCCAAACGACAATGCCTCCAAGTATAGTTAACTGCATGTCTAAGGCTAGCTGATGAGTTTGAGGTGCGCACTGAAATTAGTCAATAGAAATGTGATGAGTTTATAAAAAAAAAAAATACTGAAAGAATGGCTTAATATAGAAAAGAACTAAATAAAAAATTACAACAATCAATTTTCATATCGTCGATGTTAAGCAGTGGGTCGCGTTTCCGATCCGGTGGTAGATTCTGCGAAGCACGGCTCTTGCTAGGGTTCGTGTTAGCAATGTCGTCAGGTTTGAGCCCCGTGAGCTCAAATACTAGTTAAGGTCACGCTGATATAGCCTCTCAAGGCTCTTTCTTAGCTTAGGTAAGAAAAAAAGAAAAACAAAAAAGTCACATGATTTTCAGCTACCGGACAGCCTACCGTTGGCTATGAGCCGACTGACCGGCTTCCAGAAGCAAGCTCTGGGTATCAGTAATTCAAATTTTGAGAAATATATAAAGAGTATGGCTGTTTGATATTATTCTGCCTAACAAAGAAGTATTTTCAATTTAGCTCTTAAATTGTAGTGCATATAAGTGTTTCACCCAATTTAACTTTGATTCGATTACACAAGATAGGCCAATATATTCCCTTCTTTTCTTTTTGTTTTTTTATTGCCCTTGTAGGCAGACGAGCATACGGCCCACCTGATGGTGAGTGGTCACCGTCGCCCATGGACTTCAGCAATGCCAGGGGCAGAGCCAAGCCGCTGCCTACCGCTGTCATATATGAACTAATAACTAACACATCATTTCGTATGCTCCTCTTTGTACTAATAAAATGGAATTTCCCGTAGTTCAAGGTAAAAAAATACAAATATCTGAGTACACACACAATTCAATCAAAAAGTTACCATTTCTTCAAGACCGAAGTAGTTCTGTACGTAAAGCAAGTTCCACCACCATCCTTGCTGGCAAATCTCGGCGTTCTTCGTAACGAATGTACCCCACATTGGTCCCGACGATATGTTATCCCAGATGTAAGCGTAAAACAATACTACAGCCAGCAACGCTGGAGTCAATCTGGAAAGAATTATAGGCTGTTTATTTCTAGGAGTTCAGCTAGGGATTCGATAAACATCCCAACAACCCGTTGGATACTAAACAATCACTGGAGAATTACGAGAACCTTTATTCGGCAATAGAAAAATAACTAGTGCCTCGTCAATGATCGAAATTCGACCATATGACTGCCAACACAAGATCTAGATTAAATTTATGTGTTACATTTTCTCTTCTGTTTTGGTATTGACATTTAGAAATGTTTGTTTCCAAAAATGTATTGACAACACTAAAGCTGTCAATAATGATTACAAAGAAAATGAAAAAGAAATCGCTTGACAAACAAACGAGACAATAGTATTTAATAATATTTGGTATTTAATGGTATATTAATGGTATTTGAGGTTTTCATCCTGAAGAAGGGGGCTATTCGTGCTATTTATAATATGCACCCGAGGGAATCCTTGAGGGACAAGCTTAAGGAAATCAAAATTCTAACTTTACCGTCAAAATACATTTTTGAAAATTTATTGTACGTGCGTAAAAACATTGAAGAATTCCCCACAGTCTGCGATTTGCATAATGTGGACACTAGGAACAAACATAGGCTTGCACTGCCGGCGGCTCGAACTAAGAAAATAAGCAACTCTTTTAGGAGGCTGGGTGTACAACTTTACAACAAGATCCCACAAAACGTTCAATTACTACCTGTTCATAGATTTAAGAAAACTGTCAAGGAACGTTTGTGCAATAAGGCATATTATAAAGTTAAGGATTATCTACTACGTGGGAATGCGGCGTTCGCTCCTGGCCTTTTCATTTTTCATTATTATTATTATTTTGTAATTGTATTTTTTGACTTGTTTTTTCGTTTACTGCAAATATTGTTACTTATTTAAAAAATAAAGAAAATATTTGAGAAAAAACAAAAAAAAAAGCCCGCTGAGTTTGTTTCGCCGGTTCTTCTCAGGACTGTGGCCTTTTTTTTTGGAACCGGTAGTAGAGTTAACATTGTTATTTGTATTTTGACATTCAACAAGTGTGTTATACTGACATCTAAGTTGAATTACACATAAGTAATAAAATTTTCAAAAACTGCGATCTAGTCAAAAACAACACGATTACCTAACATAAGCATAAGCGATTAAAACTTAATTAGATTTTTGTCTTACAACATACCATTACAAATCTGCATATTAATCAAATCACAGTAAATCTGATTAATCCCATCAATAAATTAAATTGAGGACGTCACTATTAAATGTCAATCGATTAAAAAGACTAGCGGTTATCTTTAATAACATCAATTGAGACAATTTTTATGTCCGATTTTTGAAATGCATGAAAAGGGAAAAATATTTTTTAATATTAAAATATTTAATATTTTTAAAATAATATTTTTAAGAAAAATTAACCTCGGTATAAATCAAGGGAATTTTAATACGCTTTTATTAGCTTCAGACGTATGTATGTTAGTGTGTAACGGAATCTTTGAACATGATTTTGAACCCCGACCCACGCTTTTTTACAATAAAATCGTTTTTTCTTACACTATTTTTAATTCAAATTTATTAAAATTTATTTTCTATTTTTTAGTTGGATTTTCTATAAAAGCATATTTTCTTAGTTTTTTTAAACTATCATTATAAGAAAAACAAAACAAAAATCAAATTAAATGGTGAACCCGAATACAAAACATACATAAGCACACACAGTAATAACAACCCGTGGACAGCCTACAACGAAACAACGAAAGAAAAGAAACTAAAGCACGTTAATACTGACACTTCTAACATTATAATAAATTCCGAAAAAACTTTACTACCTGTGAATGCTCAATCAATACAAACAAACAGACTGACTGACAGACAGAAATATAATAAAAAATTCGCTGGTTTCCGTTCCTTTGTTTCAGTTACTTGTTTCTATTTATGTTACTATTATTCTATGTACAGACACACCGGACTACTGTTTTATTATATGTATATTGATTTTGGCGATGACCATAAATTAACGAACACCAGAATCTATTTTTAATAATTTTTTTTTGTTTATGTAAACTTTCTCGAATAAAAACCCTAATGTAATCTCCCATTATATTCTCGATTTAATGTTCTTGTTAAATTTATTCAGTCTCTCACATATTGATTACATCACTGTCTTTGAAGCATCCATTAGTATCTTTCAATTGGTCCTGTCGGTAGTCTAAAAATTTCAAGCCTTCAAGTATAATTTCACTCAACCTTTATTAATTGCAATTGCTTGTTGTTTCCGAGAAAACTACGAACAACGCTTTTACGGAAGTATTAAGCAACTAGTTACTGTTCTGATCAAAGTGCTGCTCTTAAAATCAATTAAAAACTTCAAAACTTGCTTATCGAAGTAAAACAGATGAAAGAAAACTTTGAAAGCTAATAATTAATATTTTGATATTTTGTTATGCTTAACATCAGAATGTATATAATATTAAAAAGAAAGAAAAAAAAGACGTGTGACACTCGGAGACTGCCGCGGTAAAGCTATTGCATAGCATTTTTTATCAATTTATGCAATTATAAATCGACAATCATAATTTAATATTAAAACAACAATAAAATAAGATCCGGTGAGAAACTCAGTGGGCTAACTTGCAATGAATCTGCTACATTGGGAGTATTCCATTTTGACCGCGCACTCACTAGAGGGCGCTACATGGGATAGAGACACGCCTTTGGATGCTAGTTCTAACTCTCATTCACCCAGAATCAAGGGCTTAGCTAGTTTATTTTTAATGCCACTCCAATCACTGAATGAGTAGTAGGAGTAGTAACAAAATTCTTCGACTAAGCGNAGCTAACTTGCAATGAATCTGCTACATTGGGAGTATTCCATTTTGACCGCGCACTCACTAGAGGGCGCTACATGGGATAGAGACACGCCTTTGGATGCTAGTTCTAACTCTCATTCACCCAGAATCAAGGGCTTAGCTAGTTTATTTTTAATGCCACTCCAATCACTGAATGAGTAGTAGGAGTAGTAACAAAATTCTTCGACTAAGCGATAGAAAATGGCACGCCCAACGCCCCAAATATGATATAATTTTCTATTTTACAATTCCGTTTGTCGCCGATAGTAGGCGCTTGACGCAAAAGCTGAATCGCGCTATCGTTGTGTTACCCACGAAATTATATCACATATTTTGATAGTACATAAATCGGTGTTTAGACTTCTTACTTTAAACACTACACAAGCGCAACGTGTGAATGTGTTGAACGCGAGCTACATAGTAGGCGTAGTGAGGGGTGGAAGGTTTTTTTTCGTTACGGAATTTCACGATTCCGCTCTTAAGCCGCGCTCAAGGCCCGCGATAAAATCTATGCAATAGCTTAAAAAATGTGTTTTATTTATCTTTAAAATCCTTAAAATGATGTATTGTCTTATTAAATTATGTGCTTCGTAGAATCTACCACCGGATCGGAAACGCGACCCACTGAGAAGATCCGGCGAGACACTCCGTAGGCTCTGTCTATGAGTTAATGTACTCGTCGAGCACTTCGTCGTAAGCGAAGGGTTCGGCGAGGATGGTGACCGGTGCTTGAGGTACCTAAAAGCACCGTTAATGGATCGGGAGGATCCGTAATGACGTGTTTAGGGCGACGTCGACTGTTTATCATAATATGGTCCACAGGATCGGGTATGTGTCTTATCAATGGCGTTCAATAACTACTAACTACTAACTTCGCACTGTTTTAGTTTTTCTTACTAATTTTTCATAACGTTGTTGAAACGCCTTATGCATTTCTAACAAGATTTGTAACACTATGTTTCACATTATTTCATTATAACATTTGAAATTTATTGATATAACACTATCAGATTGATCAGCCGCTCGGCAGAAAAATCAATGCAATATATTAAACGAAACGATTTAATCTTTCTCGAGTAATTTGTATGTATTTTTAGTAATCTTATTTAATAATTCGTATCACATAAATCGGATTCGCTTTATAATTGTTTGCGCGTCTCTAATGATCGAACGATTCAGTGGGATAGTATACCTGATATATCGGGAGAAGAGACGCTTCGGTGCCGCTGTTTCGGTGTCGATGCTCATGCGGTGAGCAGTCAGAGTTCCACTTAAAAGAAGAAAGCAATCCGTGAACATCCATCCGGCTCTGCACCACGACCACATTGGTGAACTTACTGTCTGAAAGCAGAATTGAAAATAATTTAAGTTCCCCATCGGGTTTTGTTCAGGACTTTTTAAGTTTTATTCCTCTAATTTTATGTTAAGTTTGAAAATCGCTGTCCCGTACCTCATAATGAAAAGCTACTTTTCAAACTGGTCGGGTTATTCTGACAGTTTCTTAATGATAATATATTATAACTAGAGGTCCCGCAGTAGTCAAAATTCGACTATAATTAATTGGCATTGTAAGTTTGTACACTATTATGATTGTGTTTTATACTTCTATAGTCACAAATTTCGCCAAGACTACACTATAAAAATTTTTAACAAAGACAAACAATATTTAATCTATTTTCAATTTGACCACAGACGTCAAGAACAAAAGTTTGACAATAAATAGTATTCATGCGTGAGTGCTTCAAATACATGGTATGTAGTGTGTGTAATGTTTTCTTTATTGATTTAATGTATCTTTTATGCCTTATTTTAAAAAAATATTAGCATTGTGCACTTCTTCTCTATATTCTCTATAAGTGTGGAAAATTTCATACTCCTCCGTCCGCGCAATTTTCATAAAAAGGGATACAAAGTTTTTGCTTCACGTATTAATATATCGATAGTTTAAAGGTATAGTGATTTCTCACAGGTTGACGTAAAATATTTATTTACTTATTTTTTCATTGCTACGCCATAGAGGTAGCGAGAATGATGATAGTATGTATATATTTGTGCTATAATCACAGCTTACCCATGTATACAGTAATACATAATTAAAATCACTTATATCGTTTAATCTAAGATCATGGTTGACGTTGAGAATGTCGATAAACACGTTCTCACGGGTAAATTGGATTCTCTGGGTCTACGGTTCTCCTTGTGTTTTATAGCGTATGCCCCTTGTGTGCCCTGAGGAATTGTTCAAGATGATCCCTCCAATCCTTTTTTACCACAGCATCTCCCGCCACCGAAGCTGAGTTTATCTGTATACTATCTGGAATTGCTGCGTACATCGACAGTCCGCTTCCAGAGATCTTTCATACCACATACCATTCGGCTTTGTGGTTAACTTCCCTGCATGGTGTTTTCCGAACACTATGACATATGCATCTTTAAATCAGGCTTGCTGAGTATACTCAGTGGTAAGCAGCGACGGAAACAATCGCTATCAGATGGGCCATATTCTCAATTGCTTTTTTGTAGGTAGTAGTAATAAACGGCCGTGTCGAATACTTTTACAATTTTCATGGTTATTATGTAGAATAGCGCCACCTACTAGAAGAAGTGTTTGGTAGAAAAGGTGGAAGGAAATACCTATTAATAAAACGGAGCAGTGATCTGGTGATAGCAGTAGTAAATAGAATAGAGATAGAAATAGAAATAGAGATAGAAATGGATATAGAAATAGAGATAGAAATAGATCCTTCGCCTCCTTGTGTCCTTCTACTCATTACTGAGGGTCGTGACTCCACCACTGCATCTATCTCTCATGTAATTGTACATGTTGTTCTCCGTCTGCTACAATCCTTGACCTCGTGGAGGGTATCATGGAGCTTGAGGTCCAGACAAGATCGAATTTGGTCCAACCATTTCGTGGGACTGCGTCCTCTAGGACGTCGACCTCTATCTTGCCGGTTAGCATCAACTGCTCAAGATTGTGACCCTCCTTTCAAATAATGTGTTCAAAGAACTCCAATACTTTACGAATGCATATTCCATATGCAGAAATAGATAAAAAACATAGAGTTGGTCGGAACAGCTAAGCAGACATACCTAATCATTACAGGAACCGTGAGCATTTGATAATAATATGAACGTGGTACCAGATGTTTTAGCAACGCTTTTTTCTGAAATTATCAATCGATACAAAATGTACGAATTCAAACGCCTGACACAAATAACGAAGCAAAATGTTTTTCAGGAACTCAACCGAGAAATAATTAGTCGATCGAAAGTATTTAACGAATATTGGATGCGATATTTTATACTATAGTAACCAGTACAAACAAAATATAATAATAATCTATGTAGAAGCTCTGTCTAGATCATTCTAATTATGAAAGAATTATTTATTGAAAAATACCGGTTGTTAAATTAAACTTATAATGTTGAGAATTGAATGCAATTACATGGGCAGCGTGCGCTTGAGGTGGTCCGATTAAGGAAGTACAACTCGACCAAGCTAAGTTTGCACCTCGCTGGAATGCGGCGCCCCGCCCGCTTCGCCGCTCACCTTCCCGCGATCGCCATGTCGCGTCAGTACCGTTAGCATCTTTGTCGCCGACACGCATCATACGAGTTTTCGTCTCCCTATCCGTTGCATTTTAAATTTTTTAACTGTTCTTGTTAAGTTTTATGTTGAAGTTTAGTTATATTATTGCACTATTTTTGTTAAGTTTTTGTTGAACTGTTGTTACAGAATGTTTAATGTTCATTTTCTTTTACTTCGACAGGATTGTTGTGGGAACAACATTTTAAATTAAAATGAAATAATAATTTAAAATGAAAGGAAAGGTGATACACAGTGAAGGGAGAAACATAATCTTGAAAAAAAAAGAAACATAAAGGAAAATTTTAATGAGCAATTGGGATACAAATTTAAAAAGTGCAAGAACGCCCGGGTGGTCTTAATACAAAAACCCGATATCGCTATATTCTAATGTATCTATGTATAATATATTGTTAAAAACAATAAATGCAAAGTAAAATATAACAAACATTTATTTACATTTTTAAAGTCATAGCGAATCATTTTTTTAGACCATACCCAAGCGGCAGTGTGACGTAATCGACGCGAGGTGCAAACTTAGCTTGGTCGAGTTGTAGGTATATTTTTTAAACTCTCGCAGAGCGACGCAAGACAAAGGACGCGGGAGCAATACAGCTTTAATGTTGTTTGCATAAATAGTAGGTAAATATCACCGAAGTCAGTCAGCCACCAAAAGGAGGTTTATAATTACAGTGATTAAAAAAAATTAAAATGATTTTCACCGTAAACGGTTACATAATCTTACGTCCCACTTTATTTTAAATTGTTGCCATAATTAAAAATTGAATACTCCTGTCGAATGTGAAATCATAGACACGCGAATTTATTTTTAGATTGGGTCTCTTACATTTTTCCATTTACCCTTCACATTCATACAATGAAAATATTACATTGACCTCTTAAAGCATTCCACTGATCCGTTTTCGGATACCTTAGCGATCAAATGAGTCAGTTTGGACGTCGCGCATACAACAAAACGCCAAACTCACAAGTCGTGGCAACCGGCCAAAGATAACACCAGCTATCAGAGACAAAACAAATTTAACAATACAGAATTAACAAACAAAAATAGTCTTTGCTTATCTAGAAATAAGATCGTAGATCTCACTAATCTATCCTGAGATGTATTTGATTAAACATCGCTCTCGATTTCACTCAAGGATGCTATAAAATAGTCTTGGTTTGAGGCGTCTTTACGTTCAATGTCAGTCAGTTACTGAAATAAATTAAATACATTTTCATACTAAACACATTAGTAAGAGGTAAATAGATCGGTAAGAGTAATGACAGTAATGATGCCGTAAACACATTTTTTTTGTAATCGTGACTGCAATACATTCAAGTAACAGGTTTTTTTGTATCTTTAAAGAAAATATGTATATAATATTACCGGCTTTAGTACTCGTATTATTAATTGTGAAGTAAATTAAACCATATATCTTTTTTTATTGCTTAGATGGGTGGACGAGCTCACAGCCCACCTGATGTTAAGTAGTTACTGGAGCACATAGACATCTACGGCGAAAATGCGCCACCCACCTTGAGATGTAAGTTCTAACAACCGTCTTACAACCGCTGACCCACCCTTCAAACCGAAACGCTTTACTGCATCACGGCAGGAATACGCAGGGTGATGGTACCTACACCGCATGGACTCACAAGAGGTCCTACCACCAGTAAATTACGCAAATCATAATTTTGCGGGTTTCATTTTTATTAAACGATGTTATTCCTTCGCCGTAGAAGTCAATAGTGAACATTTGTTGAGTACGTATTTCATTAGAAAAACCGGTACCCGCCTGGGTTTCGAACACCGGGGCATCGCTCAACACGAATGCACCGGACGTCTTATCCTTTAGGCCACGATGACTTCTTTTTTTTCTTTCTTACCACCAGTAACCAGAAAGATTTAAATACATCATCTTCGCATCACCCGATATGAATGCACCGGACCACTCAACTTTTAGGACACGACAACTGAAATATGCTAGAAAATTCCTCAACTTCATAAAGCTACAATTAACTTACATCTGTAATCCTCGATCTATTGGTGTATGGCATATTAGCAACTGGGAAGAATTTATGCGCCACCAAAAGAGCTATGGTCGCGATGGCCCTCACTCCATGGATGCAGGGTATCTCGTCTGAGGTTCCAGAAGCTGTAAGCTTACTGACAGTTCGGTACAATGAAAATACAGTGAATATACCATCTGAAATCAAAGAAGAAAACTTTAATATTATACTGAGTGGCAATTATAAACGCTTAGTGAAGATTTGGGATAAGCGTCTAGTGAAGCCCAGATGCCGTTGTCCGTCCTTAAACATTATCTCGATCATCCTAAAAGCATTGGATCACATTCCATATTAATGTTCATTGTGGGCATAGGCCGAAATGGGAAGGACGTTGGAATTAAAATACCCTTAGGATACTGATTAGATCCCTAACGATCCAGTAAGACAGAAAATAAGAAGGGCGCATTATGATGCATAGCTACCACTATCAACCCTATTGCTGCAAAGAAGCATGCGTTTTAGTTTAAAGTATGGGACAGCAGCTGTATGGTAAAATTAGGGATACAACCAAATATAGGTTTCAGTGAGTTCTATCAACTCGTCTTCACAAATAGAGCAGCATTTAATATTAGGGTAAAAGTTTAATACGAAAACCAAAAGCTGTATGTTCAGTAAGCCGACCTTTTGTTTGACTTCTTTCTTTATCTCCTTTATTGTTGCCTTCATCAACGCCCTCATCTGTTGGGAGTGTTGCGAGAAAGTCTTGTAATGTTCCCACAATAACTAACAGAATGATGACACCGTAAAATACTCTGTAATACATCGTCAATGATTTCATATTTTAATGTAATGAATAAAAATAAAAATTTAGATATTGTAAAACATACTCATTATTACTTAAATTAAGTATAAAAAACATAAAAAGGAACTCACAAAGTAGCAAGTACTGGCGGTTCCAGCCAACGTTGCCATAAATCAGAAGGGTCCTCAACATGGCAGTCTTCTTCCTCAACTTTAACTCGTATTGCAAATCCACTGGTCTTCTGATAGTGTTTAATGGTATCGCGAAACACTAGTTCAACATCCCCGGGATCGCAGGCTGAAGGTACACAGATACCCCAACTCAGCGTCGAAAAACGCGGCACAAAGTGACCTGGCTGAACAAAGTATTGTACCGATTTGTATTCTATGTAAATAGGTTATGTTGGAAAAGTAAAAAAACCTATTTTATTACCATGTGCAGACGCATTCATAGCCCACGTGGCGTTATATCTGATGGAGCCCATATATATTACAACGTGAATGCCGTTGAGGTCGACCCCACCATGAGGTCGAAGTCAGTTGGATTGTATAAATCTCCTACGCTTCAAATTTAAACCCATACTTTATCCTCTATATCATTAACATTATGGCATTGATATGGGCCCCTTATGATTACTATCCCACGAAGTGGACCAACAACTTGCTAAAGGTGCTAAAACTCGCTGGGTATAGGTTAAGCAAGACCTGTCATCATGGCGAACCTTGGGGGAGGCTGTTGTCGAGCCGTGAACATCTGTGGGCTGATGATGGTGGCAAAGGAGCCTCATAAACCTACACCAGAAACACAAGTCCACTGACATTCTCAAATTTCTCACTCAGAACACGATGAACTCGATATCCAAACGGTCAATCCGTGGATTGCTAAAATATTCGTTTCATTTGCAAAGCTGAAATGCTTGAAATCCGTTTAAATTACAAAACTCACATCATCAATCCGGCCCCTGATCAGGTTTTTGGCTTGCGCCAAATGCACCGGCGTCTCCAGCTCGGGATGTTCAGCCTTAACGTCCAAATGAACCAAGCAATACTTTCCCTGCACCTTGACGACGGACCCGGTATCCAACTGTACACGAGCTCTACTGCTGAGGCACTGATCGAAATCACCGAGTTGGATGCCATTACCTTGGAGGATTCCCGCGGGGATCTTAGCTGTGGCATCCAGCACTGAAATATTAATGTTATCATGACACGAATGTGCTATAGGGAAACATTAACACGCTTTAAGCCATAATACACTGCAAAATATACCTAATACAATTCCCTGGAGTTCCTATGACCTAAAATCGTGTTACATATCATGTGTAATTTATTTGCCTAAAAATTGCATTAAATATTATGTTCTACTTCATGTGTAGAGTTGTTTTTTTTTTATGTAGATAAACTGAAAGCAAATTTAGAATCAGTTGAACTAATGCTAAGTAACTACCATAGCCTCTGGATAATGCAATATCAATGAAATTTTAATCTATCAGACAGCGACGCATTATGGCTTTTCTGCAGAAATAGGCTTTTGGAAATAGAATCATAGACATTGTTACACGACCAACCAACTTGAAAAGTTGAAAATTTACTATTTTACTCATTTTGTTTCAAAAGAATTTTACATGTTATTTAAATATATTCAAAATATACACGTCAAAATATTCTTTTGAAACTACCGTTTGATATTTTTTTTAACATCTAGTAAGCGTTCTTGGAATTCTAAGTGTCAACAGAATTAACGGCTGTATGAATCAGTAAATTATAAGAAAGTTGACAATAAATAAAAATAACTCACTATTCAGAGCCCATAATTTAGTGCCACGTAGTTGCCTTAATACAATCTGACCGTGACGTCTACATTCTGGATTGTGAATGCGCGAAAAATTCGGTGCAAATGTCGGAAAAAACGTATAAAAATCGTCGAATTCGCTTTTCAATAAATTTCTTCTTTGTAATGCATCGTTCATTTGTTTTAAATGACTTCCACTTTTAACTTCTTTGCCGTCTACCAATTTCTCAGTTGATTCTCTACTACTTTTAATATATTGCTTTTCAGTACATTTTTTACTTCGATCTACTTTAAATTCTTTCATAGTCTCCAATAGCTTGTATTCATCTCCTAGAGTTTCTTGCTTTTTCGAGTCTTCTTTTGTTTTCTTCTCAAAATTTCTGCCATCACTATCATTCTCATCTTTTAACACACGAGAAATTAATACTTTTGAAGTTGCTTGTTCCACTGACTTATGACTGATTGATTCTGCAGCTTTTTCACTTTTATCTTTTGTTTCTTTCTTTAAGTCTTTTTTTATTTCCTGCGGAATGGTGTTAGTTTTCATGTTTTCAGAGCGTTTTTCTGTCTTAATAGATGTATCTGTAGTTTTTATTTTTACTTCTGCTTTATCATCAAGGTTCGACTTGGATTTGATTGATATTTTAGAAACAGATGGCGAAGATTTTGCTTTACTTTCTGCTTTTAGCGCTTCCGCATTTTTTTCATTTAAATCTTTTTTTGGCGGTGGTGACTCTATGTCATCTTTTTCTTTACTGTTATCTGTTAAAAAGAATGTTAGCGGTGACCAGAATGTTGACGTTTGAAATTCTTCTGATTCATCAGAAGGCGCTAATAATTGATCCTTTGATTGTTTTTCTTTATTCGGTGCTTGGTCCTCTTTACTAGAAGATAAAGCCAATTCTTTAATTTTTGGTTGTTTTGTGCTTTGCTTGGTACTTTTAACATCAGTTTTTATTGAATCTGTTTTTAATGGCTGATCTTTTTTACTTTTCTCATCTATTGCTTTTTTGACTTGGGTATCACTAATTTTATTTTGCTTACTCTCGGTTGAGTCGAATTTTTCTGGAATATTCGAATCTTTAATCTTTGACCGAGCATTATTTTTATCTTTTTCAAAGTTCTCATTTGAACGAAGATCAACATCATGTTTTGCTAAATGCTGTTTTGCATTCTTTGTATTTGAATCTGTAGTATTTTTAGTTAATGTGTCATCGTCCTTCATTTTCTCGGTTGCTTTGAGGCTTGGTTTGTCTTTTGCTTTCAATCCACTATTTCTTTCCCCATCTTCTTTACTGTGAATTTCTAAATTAGATTGGGCCTTTAGCAAACTTTTCTCTTTGTGACTAATTTTTTCTTCGTTTTTTGCTTCTGTATTTTTCGTTTGTTTCCTACTAAATTTTGATAATCTATCATCAATATTTTCATCACTATCTTCATCTTCATCGTCATGAAAATCAAAACGTTTCTCTAATTTGTTCTTAGTTTCACTAATTTTAAAAGTAGCTGTTGAATAAGATTTTGGTAAGTCTGTTTTCTTTTTCACATTAATAATTGTAGCTCGTGGTATTTTAGGAGTTATCGGATGCTTTCTGATCATTTCATCATCGTCATCGTCATCATCACTATAACTGTCACCATATTCATCATCATCATTATCGTCATCATCATTCACTTCATCGTCTTCATTATCATAATCGTCGCTGAACAAACTCCAACTATTTTTATCACCAGCTTTTGTTTTCAAATCGACAGAGTGCGCCTTCACTCGTTCATTCTTAAAAGCTGGCCTTATCTTCGAAACATCCAAGTCATCGTCGTCATCTTTATCACTCTTTGTCACATATTTATGAGTAATATGAGGTTCAAGAGGCTTTTTGTTGGTTTGCTCCAGTTTTTCACGAACATCATTCTTTGTTTCCACGTTCGGTCGTTTATCACTATCGATTCGAACACTATTCAATTTATGACCTACCTTCGCTTCACAATCATCACAATGTTCTTTTTTCGCACTATCATGAGAAACTTTGGGCAGGTCGCGAATACGGAATGCGGTTATCACTGTGGCTAGGATAGGGAGGCAGATTAAAATTAGAGTTAGCGTCCATAAGTGTCGCGACATGACCGACGGAACTAAATCACGGCGCCATTATACCCGTACTGAAAGNTTCAATTTATGACCTACCTTCGCTTCACAATCATCACAATGTTCTTTTTTCGCACTATCATGAGAAACTTTGGGCAGGTCGCGAATACGGAATGCGGTTATCACTGTGGCTAGGATAGGGAGGCAGATTAAAATTAGAGTTAGCGTCCATAAGTGTCGCGACATGACCGACGGAACTAAATCACGGCGCCATTATACCCGTACTGAAAGCTATAACGGGTTCAGTTTCGTTCGCGTATTCGCAACTCATTCAGACGTTCCCATTGATATTTCGCGGTCTAGGTTATGGGTTCGTTTTAAAACGCTCAGGGAAGATGTGTGTTGCGAGGTTAACGGTAGCGTACTGGCATTCGAGCACAGCTGATGGCAAGAATCCAAGTTCGATTTAAAAATAGTGTGCTCTTAAGGCGATTGTCCGGCGCGCGCGTCCATTCGGCGGCTCCAACTGATTTGTTGATTAATTAATTGATAAATTTGTAACAGACAATAGCTGTAGAGTTAAAGGGAAGCGTGAAAATGATAAATGGAGTAATTGTTTATTACCGCCAAAAAAAGTTTGCTTGAGTTTGATGGTCTAGTTACGCTGACATCCGACGAGAATTGTCATTCTCTCATATGTGCTTGTATGTGTAGTTTAGAAAAACATTAACCCAGAAGATCATAAATTTGAATTTTTTTTTGTAACAAGGTGTCCGTCCACCTTTGTTAACATCCTTTAAGAGCAATATAAAAAGTTGGCAGTAATTGAGTGTAGAAGAGCATTTCATTTTCATTGTACACGCACTCAAATCCCAAATAATTGATGACTTAAAACAAAGAGACTTTTTCTTCTATGATACCGACCGAGAATCGAACCCAAGCTCAACTATTAGATCAACTAGGCGAACAATCCATATTTATCTTCTATATTTCTATTAAATGTTACACTTACCTATTTATTTATCTTCCATATTTGTATAAAAGCGACTCTTATCGTATACCACACACGACACCTCCGAAGCTGTACGATGAAAACAGATTTCAAGTAAATCATATCCCGAAAGATCATATCATCTACTTCACATTCACAATAAAAATACGTATTTTGAACCTTGGAGTCAGGTATCTGCCACGAAGTAATCCCGAGCTCCGTTTTGGGGGCTACGACAGAGACTTAACTGGTGGTAGGACCTCTTGTGAGTCCGCACGGGTAGGTACCACCACCCTGCCTATTTCTGCCGTGAAGCAGTGTGGCGGGTAGCCATCATACAACGCAAGATAATTGACAGATGCCTGAATCTCGCTTACGACATTTTCAAAGATAAAGCGCATATATACAAGTTCCGAATAACAACATTTGGACCGTCGGTCTACCGAGTAAATATCACCCGCTCGGTGGAAGATCTTCCCTTTGTCGATTAAGCATCCCCAAAAGCAGTAATGCGTTTCGGTTTGAAAGGTGGGGTAGCCGTTGTAACTATACTGAGACCTTAGAACTTATATCTCAAGGTGGGTGGCGCATTTACATTGTAGATGTCTATGGGCTCTAGTAACCGCCTAACGCCAGGTGGGCTGTGAGCTCGTCCACCGATCTAAGCAATAAAAAAAGACCAAATTACAATTAAGACTACCACTCTCTTAAAGATTGGAGCAGGATTCACGTTGCGATATCTCTGATTTTGGCCAGTTGGAACGAGGCTTCAGCATCAAGGAGTTATATTAAGATTCCTTGATTCCTATTTTTCACATTAGAAAAACATTATGAGTACATATAATGGAGGGATGATGATAAAATCGCGGTTTCAAACCGGACGTACTATTATCATCAAGTAAGATCCTCCGGTCTTAGCGATATACGATATATTTAAACCAATCATTCTTATCTACATATACTTAGTCTGGCCATAAATACTGTTACAATTAAAAGTAAACAAAATATTACATTTGAATTTGGAATATGTCATTTTTATATGATTGCTCATTGAGTTTTCTCATTTTGGCGCCAATACATTGTACAATATTTTGCAATATTAAAATGGAGTGGGGTGATAAAGAGAACTGAATCGCTGTGATTGCATCACACAAAGTAGGTATAGAGCCAAATGCGATTTTTAAAACTCTCCATACGCTTGTTATTGGTAAAATATTTGTGGATCGGGCTATTTTAATCGGTGCAATGAGACCTCCTCTGTTTGTGACACAAAAGGATCTGGCCGTCCACGTAGTGTTCGTACGAAAAAGGTGGTCAAAGCAGTAAGGGAAAGAATTCGAAGAAATCCTGTCCGAAAGCAAAAGATTTTATCTCGGGAGATGAAGATAGCACCTAGAACCGTGTCGTGTATTTTAAAAGATAACTAAGAACTTGCAGCCTATAAGAGACGTACTGGTCATTTCATAACTGATAATTTAAAAGAGAATAGGGTGATAAAATTGAAACAACTACTGAAGCGGTACGCAAAGGGAGGTCATAGAATTTTTTTGTTTACGGATGAGAAAATTTTTACAATTGAGCAACATTTTAACAAACAAAATTACCGTATTTATGCTCAAAGCTCTAAAGAAGCTTCCCAATTAGTCGACAGAGTGCAACGTGGGCACTATCCGACTTCAGTGATGGTTTGGTGAGGTATTAGCTATGAAGGAGTGACTGAGCCATACTTTTATGAAAAAGGTATCAAAACATCGGCACTAGTGTATCAAGATACCATTCTTGAGAAGGTAGTGAAGCCCCTTAACTACACCATGTTCAATAATCAAGAATGGTCGTTCCAGCAAGACTCGGCGCCAGGTTATAAAGCTTGGTCTACGCAGTCTTGGTTGGAAACGGTTGGTCAGCTTTAGAAAGTACGCCATGATAATTTGGACTCCCTAAAACAATCCGTACGATTGGCAGTGAAAATTTTTCCCATGGAAAGAGTGCGTGCTTCTATTGATAACTGGCCTCAACGTTTAAAAAACTGTATTGCAGCCAATTGAGACCACTTCGAATAAGCTTTTTATACTTTAAATGGTTTTATATTTATGTATTAAACTAACACACTGTAAAAGTAATAAATGTTATTTGCAATAGAATTTTTTTATTTATAATTGTAGCAGTATTTATGGCCAGACTAAGTATAGGCAAAGATAAGTACCATTTCATGTAACCCTACTCGTCGAAATCGACAAAGAGCTCGACGTGCAACTTAACCCATGCATCAGCTCGCTGAGTTTCTCGACGGATCTTCTCAGCGGGTCGCGATTCCGATCCGTTATTAGATTCATTCGCGTAGCAGCTGCTCTTGAGATGTTAGGTCTCCTTTGGAGGCGCTTGGGTAGCTGTTAGATAAACTCACCCCTCCTGGCTGAGCCCGTGCTCGCCTACCTGTCCTGGTGAAACTGGAAAGGTATCTGGACCACCAGTAATCCATCATTCATAAAAAATGGCTCTCCTCCACAACGACTAGTTCATTACCAAACTACAAGCTAATTAGTCTAATTTAGTATTTTCTATCGGTCTACTTCAGTCATAGACATAATTAAAACCATTTTTACGATTTAAGCTCGCGTTTAAAATTGTATTTATATTATTATTTCCGACGTTTTGAATACTTTACAGTTTTCGTGGTTGTTAATAATCGATTTTAATTGTACTGTGTCATTATTGTATAATTTAAATTGCATTCTTACTACTTACAAAAAACTAGAAAAATTAAAATAAAAATATCTTATCATAAATTGATGAAAAACGGTTTTTGTTTAAAAAAAAGGTAAATAAAAGTGAATAAAGCTATTATATACAAGATGTTACAAAACTACCCGTAAAGCTGAAAGGAGGTTAAATGGGGCCTTATAAAGAGTCCATTCATAATATTTAAGAACCGTAGTAACGTCGTATAACATACCCGAAAAAAATAAAAAAATATTATTATATTCACTGATGTGCAAACCCTATTTCAGTAAAATTATAGAGTAGACTACGCAGAATGTACCTACATTTGTACCTTATTCGCGAAAGAAAATATTTTTGACAAGTACGACAAATATTTAAGTATAATGACATTCTTGTATTGAGGTAGCAAACATTTATGAATGAAAAATAGAAAAACTATAAAAGTAGACAATTATTAAGTAAAATAGATACGTAAGCCTTTCTATTAAATAATCGGGTTCCCTGACATGACAGCTTAGTAGGGTTGACAAAATTTTTGCCTTCGATAATTGATTATATTTTTTACGGAGTATTTTGTAACACGTTGTATAGTTATATACTTCTATAGCTCTACCCGTCCGCTACGTTGGGCATTTAAAATTGAAATTATTATTTCTCACCCCCACAAAGATTCTCATCATTAACGCCCCCGCAACTGGTGTAGGGAGTCCAACACTCATATAAATATAAACCTATCTATTAAGTACATGTATTTTCTACATGGATACCAAGTTTCAAGTCAATCGGATGCACTTATATCTCGAGGTGGGTGGCGCATTTACGTTGTGGATGTCTATTGGCTCCAGTAACCACTTAACATCAGGTGGGCTGTGAGCTCGTCCACCCATCTAAGCAATAAAAAAAATATTAAAAAAACGGTTCAGTAGTTATAACGTAACATCCGTAAAAACCACTGTAGATTTATATATGTATTAGTATAGATATACTTCGATGCACCGGTGTTCGAATCCCGCAGGCGGGTACCAATTTTTCTAATGAAATACGTACTCAACAAATGTTCACGATTGACTTCCACGGTGAAGGAATAACATCGTGTAATAAAAATCAAACCTGCAAAAATCATAATTTGCGTAATTACTGGTGGTAGGACCTCTTGTGAGTCCGCACGGGTAGGTACCACCGCCCCGCTTATTTCTGCCGTGAAGCAGTAATGCGTTTCGGTTTGAAGGGTGGGGCAGCCGTTGTGACTATTCTGAGACCTTAGAACTTATATCTCAAGGTGTGTGGCGCATTTACGTTGTAGATGTCTATGGGCTCCAGTAACCACTTAACACCAGGTGGGCTGTGAGCTCGCCCACACATCTAAACAATAAAAAATAAAAAATAAAAATTACTTCTGTTACATTAGTCGCCTACTGCCAAATCCGAGACCGGCATACGCTTGCAACGCCTTGCCATGATCAAACGATGTCGACAGAATCGAGCCACGTTCAAAGACACATTGTATTGTAATTCGTCAATTGTTTCGTTACTGACAATATGTAGCATCGAATGTTGGCCCAGACCTTTCATAGAAGGTTTATGTTGACAAATATATCGAGCATTGAAAAGTTATTTGGCTTAAACGACATTTTTTCAACTCTACAGGAGAGCCATATAAGAATTTGGAATACATATCGTAACAAATAAAACTTCATATATTCG